CCGATTCTCTTGAAACGTCTCGAGTCTGTCGAATTGGTCGAGCTCTATTGCTTTCTTCTCCTGATTCATAATAATTGATTGATAATAATTCGCTGTAACTATTAAGATCTTTGCCGGAGCGATTGGCATTGTTTGCCATAAGAGAGAGAGAGAGAGAGAGAGAGAGAGAGAGAGAGAGAGAGAGAGAGAGAGAGAGAGAGGGAGAGAGAGAGAGAGAGAGAGAGAGAGAGAGAGAGAGAGAGAGAGAGAGAGAGAGAGAGAGAGCGAGAGTCAATCGACGAGAAGCACTCGGCCTGTCCGCGCCAAAACGATGATACATTAATACATGATGATTTCGGTGGACAAATACAACTGTGCGTCAGCAGACACGTAACGTTCGCGAATAAAAAAAGGAAAAAGCCACCATCTACCACGCAAAAGAGCGCACACGTGGAGAGGACGCATCCGCTGACAGAAGAATGGCGGAAAGTCGCGTACAAGCCGTTACGCCTCGTCTCTCTCTCTCTCTCTCTCTCTCTCTCTGTCTGTCTCTCTCAATCTCTCCCTCTTCTTCTCCCTCTCTTTCTCTTTATCCCTCGTGCGGGAGTTTGCACAGATGTCCCCAGTTATTTCGGTATGTTTGAACAATTGCCGAGCGAGACGGCGGTGGCGAGTCCCCGAGATATTCGCGATTATATCCGCTCCGAAACGACACGTGAACGAACGCGACTTCACGTGATGAGCGGAAAAGCTGCTGGCTGTGTCACATTACGCGCCGGGACCGTAGCCACGCCGCGATCCGTCCTGCCTCGGCGAAATATTATTATTTAATTACCCGTCCGCAAAATTTGCAAGTCCCCTTGGCCTTACGCAGTCGGCCGCAGTCGCGCGGTAATCTAAACTTCTACAATCTGATTTGAATTTCGTACGAACGCGTTTCGTGTCGCGTCTCGGCTCGCTTCCTCCTCTCGTTTTCACGCGTTAACGTTCGAAACAGCCGAACGCTGCCGCGCAAATGTGAACGGCTTGCGCCGTGAAATAAATCGTCGTTCGAATTTCCCGATTAGAATTTCTCGCTCGACAGCATTCTCGCGCTGATACTCGACGACTAGCAGTTTCGCAAGTCCCGCGCGATAACGCCGCATGCCGATGTACATCCTTGCTGATAAGATTGCTCAAGCGTTCCAATTCAAATTCGCGACGCACTTTCTTCATTCACTCGATCACTGCTTTGACTATCGAGCGCGCGTTTTTAATTCATCTACGACGTATGAATGACATGAATTTGCGCCTCGCCTCGAGACCGACACGACACCCATCCCCGATCGCGACCGGCCGAAGCGTCGCCACCAATCGCGCGCGAGTCGCGGAATCAGCGTGACCTCCTTCATTCGTGTTTCTTTCGTTCGGTCGATGTTTATGAATCGACCGATGATCGAGCATGTGTCCGACGGCGCCTGCTGATGACCTCGGGGACCTCTCACCTCCTCCCGGCAACGCGCTACGATAATTTCCTTCTCGCTACATTTTCCTTCTACACGCGCGCGCGTTCGTGCGATAAGGTGATTACCATACGATATCGCAACAAACTTCTGTGCTCGCATATGTACGTGCATACGTGTGTGAGAATGCATGAATTTGACCTCTGTACTTGTCGTTGTTAACAATACGGCACAGAACAATACGGTACAGAAAAGATATGTTTCGGCTGCGATGACTTGCGAGTATCGATGCCCGAAATATCCGGTATTGGAGTTCCGGTGCGAGTAAACATCCGTTACGATTACGGACGAGAGACTTTGCCTCTTCGTTCGTTAAACAATAATAAGTATCGTCATGGTCGTCATCATCGTCGTCGGTGGCGACGGCGGTGGCAGCGGCAGATGGCCGTTATCGAAAGTGCGGCCTTGTTATCGGTGCGATAACGCCTCTAAACACCCGACGAGCACCGACGATGCCAGGTGGCCTGGAATATTATCTTACGCGAACAGTTTCGCCTCGCCCGCCCTCCTCCTTCTCTCTCTCTCTCTCTCTCTCTCTCTCTCTCTCTCTCTCGCTCTCCCGGTTCTATATTGTGTAACTTCTCCGTTTTACAACCACAAGTAGCCGGCAAACGAGAAACTCTACTCGATGTAACACGAAGAGGCTTTAATCGCTCCCTCTTTCCGATCTCCCTCACCCCTTTCTCTCTCTCTCTCTCTCTCTCTCTCTCTCTCTCTCTCTCTCTCTCTCTCTCTCCCCAGCTCGAAAATCGCTCGCTGGAATTTGTCGAAGTCTAGATTGACAACGAATGCGAGAGAGATCAGCGGTCTGTGTGACCGCGAGATTAAAGAGTCACGCGCGTCTGGCGAATGCGCCGATCGTGAGTGGCGATCGGTGATTTAATTTTGCAAAACCGCGGTGTGCTCCCGACCGGAAAGCCTCGGCTAGTGTCGCAAACAAATGGCAGCCGTATTATCGCCTCGTCGGATTTACATTACGTAGCCGTCAATGGCGATTAAAACGCTATTAGAGGCGTTTATATTTATACTTCTAGGCGATCACACAGAGAAGCTGACGCGAACGTGCGTGTGCTCGTGACGGGAAAATCATGGCTCTCGCTCGCTCGCACGTCGAAACGCTGCGGGAAATCTATGTTTGGCTTCGGTCACCGAGTGTACTTATCGCGCTCGAAGGGATCACAGACCTACCGCGAGGAAGAGCCCTTCCTCCTAGCTTGGGAGGCTGGACAGCTTCCAAGGTGAACGGATTCGCAAAAAGTTCTCGGGGAAAGCTGGCGTCGCGCGATCACGCCGCGCCGCGCCATGGCGTGGCGTGGCGTCGCGTCGCGTCGAGGTCAGCGCGATCGCCGACCAGAAAGGAAAGACGATCCCGCGCGTAAGCGCGATCGCGATGACTCCTCTCGGAAAGGCAATAAAAGGAGAGCAACGAACAGACGAGGTTGGCGCCAGCGCCATGTGGCGGCCGTGCTTTGCTTCCCGTCTTGCCTCGAGAGGACACGAGAAAAAGAAGGCGAGAGGCGGAGACCCGGCGCGTTTATTAATACCGCGAGATCGAACAAAATCAAGCGCGAGCTCAATTTGACCCTTGACTTTCCTAACGGGGGAACTTACTCGCACGTAGCCGCGATGTGTTACGTTTCGTGTGCGAAATAATAATCGGTCGCTCGGGTCATCGAGCGCCTCGAGCGGTGCGAACTCGATTGCGCGTGTGTTGGAAGCACACCGACGAAGCCGGAATTCGGAGAGCCGAAGAGAGAAACGTGAAGCGAAGGAGATTCATAAAGACGAAGAGGGGAATTTAGTAGAACTTGATGGAATTAAATTTCAGTAGAAGGGGAATTTAGAACTTGATGGAATTAAATTTCAGTAGAAATGGGATTAGAATTTAGTAGAAGTTCATTCAACGGAAAAAAGAGAGCGTAGCTGAGGGAGGACAGCTTAAAGGACGTAGAGAGTGTGTGAGGGAGGGAAGGAGAGAAGAATGAAAGCAGCGATGAAATATTTGAGCAAGCCGTTAGAAGCTAATTAGAAGGCGAAGGAGAGAGCTAATAAACGCAACCGTATGCTCGAGTTGGAGTAAGTACGACGCCAGACGCCTCTTAAGGATGTTAACTGATTCCGATTCAGTAATCTCATTCGGGGGGAGAACACCGCGGCGGCGAGACGAGCAGGGAGGGACGTAAGAATGAGAGACTCGAGAGAGGAGAGGAGGATAAGAGTCGGCGGCGGCGGTCGTGGCGCCGGCGATCCGCCGATCGAGAAATCCGACGCGTTGCATCTGCATCTGCAACGCGTAGGTTGCGTACGTCGCATGTACACACACGCCCGACCGATCCATGGGTCCGAATGAATTATTACACAGCTGATCGATCGTTGTAGGAAAGCCACGTCGCCGATCGATCGCTCTCGCTTTCGCGCTCGTCGACCGCGCGGAACTCCGCGGTTACGATTTGCATAACCGCGCGCGCGCGCGCGCGAGACAGCGCGAGAGAGGAGTACCGCTTTGGTGGAGATTTAAAAAACCGCGAGAGACACACACACACACAGAGAGAGAGAAAGAGAGAGAGAGAGAGAGAGAGAGAGAGAGAGAGAGAGAGAGAGAGAATCCTTCCCCGGACTACTTGCCGCGGCTGCGCGCGATGAAAGCGAGCTGGATACGTCGGAGGCACACATCGGTCTCTCGACGGGTCTGCCATCCTATCGGCTGGGAATTACACACGTCGTCGTGCATATTTGCGCACGCAATTGTTGTACAAACGGAGCGTTACGTCAGCTCGTTTGATAATTCCTGCGTCGCGCAGATGGTCTCGCGTTTCTCGACACGCGCGTGCGAGCGCGTGTCAAGCTTCTCCGGATCTTTTTCCACGTGAGCGCGCTCGTAGGCCGAGCGGAGAACGTCGGGACGACGCACGGGTGGGTGTTGCGAGCAGCCGCGCGATGACAAGCGTCTTCGCTGGTGATACTAAAATCAGCGAAATTAGTCCCCGCCTCGGAATCCGACTCGGCGAACGACGGGAAGAAAAGAGAGAGAAAGAGGAACAGGAGCGAAGGCAACGCGGGTGTATTATAATCCTATTTCTCTCTCTCTCTCTCTCTCTCTCTCTCTCTCTCTCTCTCTCTTTCGTTCGGACCCCGTGCGCGCCAGATGGTACCAGCTGGGTGACGCATCAAAGCAGAAAACCTCCAGTGTCCGAGGCGAAGCGCGCGCGGTTCCGCCCACGGAATCGCGAGGAAAACACGTGCGCCGCGCCGTATTCGTCACGTTGCGTCCGTGCGTGAATGCAGCAGAATCGTGCGTGCGCGCGCCTACGTAGCGTCGCGGCGATCTTATTTATCCGCGCGAAGGTACACCCCGAGTATTTCCACCGTCCGTGATTTCAGAGACTCGAGTGACTAACGATAATTGATATCTCCTACGTCCTCCTTTTGCTTCTTCTTGTTCTTCTCCTTCAGTCTCTCCACCTACCGCACACGCAGCACCGTCAATCTGACGCGCCCTGTTCTATTTTTCGTTTACAGCCGGCGTCATGGCGGATTCCGAAAGAGACAGCGCGTCCTGCAGCGGCGGCGACGAGGACAGCAGATCGGGCCTGCACTCGCCCAGCGCGTCGGAGGACAGCGTGGAAGTGCAGGTGACGCCGATCTCCTTGCGGAACAAGCGGAAACTGGCGGAACCGCGCAAGATCCAAGAGCCTAGCACCGCGCCGTTGAAGAAGAGGCGATTCCACCAGATCGAGGAGACAGTCGTGGACGAGGAGAGCAGATCGATGAGCACACCGAGTCCCTTCAGACCTTGGATTATTCCCCACACGAGCAACGAAACGTCCAAGACGTCCACGACGACGTCGACGACGACGTCGACGACGACGATGACGACGACGTCGATGGAGTCCAGTACGACAACGACTACGGCGACGACCACATCGACGACCCCGTCGACGAATACGGAACCTGAGGTCAACGGTCAAACGCTCGCGGAAGCGGAGAGAATAAATTACGAAGATGATCAAAATGTGGATCAGAGGATATGGAGGCTACAACAGACTCTGCAAATGCTGACACAAGACACCGCTCACAATCAAACAGCCGTGCTATCTCGACGAGAGTCTTGTAACAGGCTCGAGTCACCACCGCCGCCGCCGCCACCGGTACCGTCCGCGCCGCCGATGTCCTTGAAACATCCTAGGCTGCAGGAGGAGCCATTATCCTTGGTCATGCGAGACGAAGCGCCCCGAGTGCCGTCGCACCCCGCAGTGAGCGGCAGCTACGAGAAGACGCCGTCGTACATGATGGAGCATCTTCTGGCGTCGTCATCGTCGACATCGACAACGACGACGACGACGACGACGGCGACGGCATCGCTCCAGTCCCATCGCAATCACCGAGGCCACTTGAGTTCTCCGCAAGGAGGAGAGCCTCATCAGCGTCACCACACAGCGCCCACCGCCGTCATCAGCAGCGCTTCCTCTTCGTCGTCGCCGTCGCACGCCTCCTCCTCGAGGCATCAGCATCAGAACAACGGCGGCGGCGGCGGCGGCGGCGGCGGCGGCGGCGGCGGCGGCGGAAGTGGCCAGCAGAGGAATTACAAGAACATGACGAGGGAAAGACGGATAGAAGCAAACGCCCGGGAACGCACCCGGGTGCACACCATCAGCGCAGCCTTCGACACCCTGAGACGCGCCATACCCGCATACTCGCACAACCAGAAGCTGTCGAAGCTGTCGGTGCTGAGAATCGCTTGCAGCTACATCGTCACGCTCACCAAGATCCGTAAGACACTTGACGGTGACGCGACGAGCGGCGCTTCCCTCGCTACCTGCGTGGATCAGGTCTCCAGGACCATCCAGACGGAGGGTAAGCTCAGGAAGCGGAAGGACGACTGAACTGTCTCAAAGTGAGCATCTGTTGAACAATGTCTGTTGGAACGATACGCGGAAACGAGATTACGAGGTGGAGGATAAACGACAACCTGGAGTTTGGCTCACGAGCGGACGTACAAGGATAATTCCCTCGATGCAGGACGGATTCTGTTCTCCATGTTGTCCATGTTCGCGCTAGTTCGTCCTTTATTCTCGATGTCTTTCGCTTCGACGAAGGGAAAGAGGGAAGAGAAAGGAAAGTGGCGACTAAAATTAATGAAGCTGTTAGCTTAAGTAATTGACTACCGCAGCTGACGCGACGACGCTGTTGCCGATGAAGTACACGCGCGATTGTCTCGAGCGATTTGGTAGTGAACGAACGGAAGGGTTCGGCCGTTTCACGATTTCAGGGGTGCTCATGGGTGAATTATGGGCGCAGTGGAAATATTTGCGGAAAGAGAGGAGAGGCGGGGGGTGGCAGGGCAGGCGTTCGATGTGAAGCGATATAAGCGGTTTTCATCGTTCACGTGTAAAACGTTATGGGATAATTACGTGCTACGTCTACGTTAACGCGCTGTACATATATACAACTGTAAAGTACGCTCTGCGGAATTGTAATAAGCGGACCTTTTAGATCTTAATAGATTCTCATAAGCGACGGAGAGAAGAGAAGGAGAGGGGATTTCTGGCGGCGCCCGATGAGGCCACCTACGTTTTCCGATATAGCAGCTGCGCAACCAGACAATAAATCTTTAGGAAGATCTTCATACTTAGAGCGACGGCGTTTAGTGCGGTGTAGGTAACCTCGCCTCGCTCGCTCGCGCGTTCGCTCGCTCGTTTCGCTGCATCGCAGGAATTACGGCGCGGCGCGCGAATGTTTATGCGGGGCTCGAAGAATTCACGGTAGTGGAAGCTAGTCTGAGGCCCGGCTCAACCCTTTCAGGACGCCCGCGACGTTCGCCTCGCCCAAAATTTGCCGATGAAACCCCGCGACGAGACACGCGCGAATCTTCGTTTCGCCGGGAACGCGTGGCTCGAGATTCCACCGAGCGATTTCTCAATCACGATCGCGAATTCTTTTCCAAATGTTCTCAAGTCTCTCCCTTCGGGACGACGGAGCGAGAAGCGAGAGCGCGACGGGAAGCGTTGCAGCTTGCCGTCGGCGTCGTGGAGGAGCTCGAGCCGACTCCGCGAGAGCCGGTCTCGCCTCTCGCAGAGGTTAAAAGCGCGAGGCACGCGAACGCGCCGCCGCAAGAGCGAATTCGCGTCGCCCGCAGCGGCGATTTCCAAACTACGCGGTCCGCGAGGTGCATACTTATCCTGACGGTCGAAAGGGATCGGTCGAGACTGCAATTTGTTGCACCGGTATCGCGTTCACGCGTTTTACGAAAGCGCGCGCACGTTCGAGCGAAAAGGGACGACAAAAGCGAAGACAATAATAGAGTTGCTTTGCGGCTTACTTGCGCGGCGAGAAACGGAGTTGACGAAGTTACATTACACGTAGCCTAATGACTAAGTGATCCGCCACTATCGAAGCTACAAACAAACGGGATATCGTCTTCCCACGAGAAAGTGCGACAGTCAGATAAGGGACACGCGTTCGGGGAGAAAAATATTGGGTCGTGATAGGAGAGTGACTGGCTCTTCAGATTGCGAGAATAGCCGATAAATCGGCGATCGAGGACATCGAACTCAAGGTCAATAGTTTGTTCGTTAACGGGGGAAAGGGGAATGATAGCAATTTTATCTATCTCTGAAATATGTAGACTCTCCGGTTGATAAAATTCGCGGTGTCGGTCGCAGAAGATTTATCGATCGAACGCGCCGCGATCGCGCTGGCGGCAGGAAGGCGTTATCCTGCAAATCCTAAAGAAGCTTCGCCTAAAAGCTGATCGGGGAGGGGGGGGGGGAGAAGTTAGCGTGTGTTCACATTGTCTTTTCGCGCGGTTTCTCGCCTACGACCGCGTTGAAGCTTGTAAATAGATGATAATGATAACGACGTTACGACGTTAGGAATTAAGTAATTACGTTATAGTAATCGGACACGTGTTATGCGCGAGCACATTTCTACGGCCTTACGCGGCGATGCATCTCGAAGATACGACGTTCACGAGATAACCGAGATATGTACCTTTCTACGCTATATAAGGCGACTTCAAGTAAAGATGAAACGAACGTTCTGCAGGACGAATTGCGTCTTTTCTTTCCGCGTCGACTTTCCCCGTCCTTCCCTTCCCTCGTTTCCTTCCACCCTCCCGTTCGTTTTTCTCGCCGAGGAGTACGACAGCGCGTCGATCTCACCCGGACGCGAAGATCGAGAAGAAGTCCCAAGTTGCAAGGAGAGACTCGACGAGCGCGAGGGAACGAACCAGTCGCAGCCAGATTTCGCGAGTTCGCCTACATGGCCGAGCTGGAGTCGCGAGTTGTGTTATCGCAGCGACGAGCTAAAAGTGGATCTAACAGCGGATCTCGTAAAAACATACATGCGTGTGCACGCATGCAAAAAGCGCGCGCGCGCGCGCGATCTGTTCAGGTGTAACGACACCGAACGCGCCGTCGACGCGACACCAGGCCGTCCTGCTCCTCCGTTCCCGCCAACTCCCCCCGCGAACCGGCACATCTGGTTGGCAGATAACGATATCGAGCGACAAATCCAATCGCGTTACCTGCAACGATACGCGTCGTGCGCGCGGTGAGAACGACCACCACGACCACCACCACCATCACCACCACACACCGCCGCTCTCGATGGGCCGCCGTTCGCTCCGCAGCGGCAAGTGTAGTCGTCGCGAAACCGCGTGCGATCTCGCGCTCGACATACCTTTATTTACGACAGTTATATGCGCGGCGTCTCTCTCCGCGAAATTGCGCCCGCTCTCATTCTCCCGGTGGATTCTCGTGTTTCTTTATCGATCTCGATCTCGAGGATCACGATTTCGTTTTTGCTCGCGCCGTTTTATTCGCCGGGCTCCGGCGCGCGTTTTGCGAGTGAAATCGTCGGGGAAGAAATAGGAGCGCTTTCGCGTATCGCCCGTTGTGCGCGCAAATTAACCGGCCGACGGTGCGTACTCGTTATAAAACGGCAGGATGTGAAAAAAATGTATCCTCTTTCCACGTCCCGTCGGCATTTGGTCCCGGCTGCGATTTTGCCCGTATTACTCGGCCGGTGCTTTCATGAGCGCGAATTATTAGCGACGACGAGAGACGACGACGGATCGATGTTGTCGTAGCCGCGCTCAAAGCCGGTATCCGGTCTGGCAGCTGTTTAGCATAAGGGCAAATTGCTCAAGGAAATAATGATTCTCCTGCACCGTCGCGCAGTCGCCGCCGCCGCCGCCGTCGTCGTCGTCGTCGTCGTCTCGCGCGCGATCCGCGCCTTCTTCCTCCATTATCCCGAGAGATGCCCCGATACGGCAGATGGCGATGACGTTCTCTCGCGGCCCGACTACCTGCCCGTCTCGAAAACGGGCACCCGGCCGCGGTTTTGCCTCGCCACGCCAGCATCTCACGCTCATTCTGCGCAACACGCGTCCCACCACGCGCTAATAAACCGCCGAGTGCGTGTAACACGGACGTTAAAGGAGTAACTCGGGCAGGTTGACGCGGTCGCGGCGAGAAAGACTCGCGTAAGGACGTAAGGACGCACACATGCAGCGAGATGCACGATTATGGCCACAGGATGAGCTCGGCGACTGCAGTCGCCTCGAATCTAACACGCCGGCTTTCTTCTTCGTAGCCATTTGGCAACTACGTACATTCGTTTCCGACGTGTATGTCCGAGAGACTGGTCTGCGGCATTGACCGTCGTGATATTAATTAAATTGAAGAATTAAGAATTTTTTATTTCATTCGAAGCAAAAATTACATTCCGTCCTTGTTCTTTGAGACATCCTTGAGGCCCGTGTTTAAACAGTCGTTATTTGAAACTTATCTCGCGTGAGATACTCAGAAGTCACTTTGGATGTTAGAATTGAATATAAGTGCTTGAGTTGAATTACATAACATGTGCCACGTTATATTCGTAATTGCGATTCGAGTAAAAAAACGCACGTCTAACTTTAAATTAGTATTTTGCTCGATACAAATTTCAACGATAGTCTGAGACAAAATAAAAGCTAATCCCTAGGAGAATAACCGCTATTGCTAAAAAAAAATTCGAAAAGATCCGGGGAGCTAAAATCGAGTCGAATGAATCTTGATGGACCAATCCCGGATTCCGTAAAACTTTGCAAGGACCGGCCAACGCTTCATTCCGTTCCACTTCGTGCCCGTTATACCGCACAGCCCGCAAGCTTACAGCCGTAAGAGTGGCTAGCGATAGCGCGATCCACCGAATTTAGAAGCAATTTAGGAGAAGCGAGAGAGAGAGAGAGAGAGAGAAAGAGAGTGAGCTGAGCTACGAGAGAAACGGCACCGCGTGCTTTTCCGCGAGCAGGTGCGCCTCCGTGAATGTGACGAACGACTCTGATCGACCGCGAACCTCATAATCCCGCCGAAGTGGACGTAAACGTGCGGTGTAGCGCCACACGAAATCGATTATGGCTGGCCGGAACGGCATTTCCTTCGGCAAAGGAGCAACCGAGCGGGAACGCTGGTTCTCCCGAAAAGGCGATTCCCGGTCTCGCGCGAAGGAAAAGCGGCGAGTCGCGAATAGCCGGTAAACTCGACTAATCGATCTACCGCGGGACCGCGGGAAATGGCGGCTGCGCGGTTACAAATGCGAGAGTGAATCAATGAGGTGCGTGCTGAAGTGAAACTGTCCCGTTATAGATCATCACACTTAAACGATAGCGGGTGCTATTTATAACACGATGAGCGAGCGAGCAGAACCGATTTGAGCGTTAATCGATTTCAGAGCCGCGACCGCGATCGAGAGAGAGAGAGAGAGAGAGAGAGAGAAAGAGAGAGAAAGAGGGAGAGAGATACGCTATTTACGACGTCTACTTTGCGCATTTGCAATTAGAGCGTCTCTATGCGCGATCGGAATGGCAGTTTCGTTGCCTGCAGATGAAACGAAAGAATGCCGACCGGGCGAGCAGGTGCTCGGAACAGAACATCGCGATACGAGCTCTTCTCGCTCTTCCCCTCTCTCTCTCTCTCTCTCTCTCTCTCTCTCTCTCCTCTCCTCTCCTGCTTACTCCTCCCTTTCGATCTCCTTCCTCCCGCTGCGTCCGCGTTACTCTCGATCTTTCTCTCGAATATCGTTCTCAAGCGTATCTGTTCCGCGTATCTTAGAACACACGCTGCGGGACGAACCGCGCGAATGAATCGCGCGGATGATAGGGGCCGGACGAGAACGAGCGCCCGGGCGATTAACAATCCGGTTGTTTTGATCCGAATGAAAAGGGAAGGCAAGAAAAGAGAGAAAAGAATAAAACGCGGGAATCCCAACATCGCGAAATCGCCAAGATCCTCGCGCGCCGAGTATCCGATTGAATCGAGTCGGGGCGATTGATCGATCGCGAGACATCACGCTTCTTTTAGCGCGAGCAGGTATTTGGCGGGAAACGAAACGGTTCCCGGATAATTGCAAAGGTAAGAAAACGAAGGGCGAGATCGCGAACGTTACCGTCGCCGGTAGGCAGGATAAAGATCGCCCGGGACGTCGTAACCTTTGTGAGAAGGCGCAACAATGCGAACGCGACGGCGAAAACCGCGAACGCTCGCACATTAGCGCGCGCGCGCGCACACGCGAGCACGGGCGCGCATTTGTGAGAGGCTGATTATGCGTTTGCCGGCGCAAGGACACGCGAGCCGGACTCACGATACGCCGCTCCAGGCCTCTTATTTTTTCGAACGGACCCGAGAGGCGAAACACCGTGGGTACGCACCTGCTAAGAGAGGCGCGCAGGTGCGTTTACCCGCCTTCATAAGCATTACTTAATTTTCGACGGTTACATAGCGCGAGTAGTAATTGACTCGGTGCACCCGACTCCAAAAAACGGGATAAAAGAGCGACCCACCTCGAGCGGTCGTGCTCGCGTCGCGTTCGATGTCGCGGGACTTCCCTCCTTCCCCGCCCCACCCGCAGTGATCGCTGCTTCTGCTCGGCGCTTTTATCGTCGGTATATTTTATTTTAATCCGAATTCCCCGCGGGGACGCGCATCTGATTTTGAAAATCGTAAAATCCACGGCTGGGGGAGGGGGAGGAACTACAAGCCCGATCGAAGAGCCTCGCCGTGAGATCGCGACACAGAAAGCGAGCGAGGGAAATAAAAAAGGAAAAGGAAACTTCCCGTTCGCCTTGATACCACGGCAGTACCACGGACGCCACGCATTGCTTTTTTTTCCTCCTGTACTCTTATTTTTAAATATACTAAATTCACAATCCTCTCTCCTCTCTCTCTCTCTCTCTCTTTCTCACACGCATACGCGCACATGCACATATTCAAGCGCGAGATAATTTATTAGAGAACACTGTTGCAGAGGAGAGCCATAGACATACTTCATATTTCCGGATATGGCTGGGATTCGCGAGGTGCCCTCCGCGAGCTTTAATGTCTGTTTGGCGCACTCTCGGCATCGACCGGATCGATTTTACGAGCGTTTCGTTATGGAGCTCGTTCCATTTAGTATCTCGCGAAACGGAACGCATTGCGGACCCCGGCGATTTGTCTACCGCGTCCGACGTGCGTTGCTGCTGTCTTTTTTGCCCTCCCCTCTCCTGCTCCCCTCTTATTTGTTCGTTTTCTCCTTAATTTCCTGCCGAGATCCGCGCTCGCGTTTTCGGCACGTCAGCCACTACGACGAGACGATCACGACGGCCACGGCGCGGGCGCGGTGCGTCATTTTTCAAGGATGACTAAGGATCGACGGAATTCGAACGGTTGTTTTAGGAGCGGCGAACCGACGCGTCGGGAGAAATCGCAAGGAGCGCGGACGAGGGAGCCGAGGGACTTAGGTGCAACAGCGGCCATAAAGCAAGATTAATGAGGCGAAGTGCGCTCTGGTAGGAAGCTGTCAGGGTCCTGGCGCCAGCTGACCAGACGACTCGGCTCGCACAGCCGTATCGACCACACGTACACCCGTTACACCCACACGCACATTCGCCAACTATGATCCAAATCCTCTCTCTTTCTTCCGCGCCGTTCGCGTCGGAACGAGCGAGTCCGCTCGATCCGCGTTCTCGAGGAGCGAGAAAGGAGAGAGACCGCGCGAGAGAGCGTAATTTAACAACAATTAATGGACCGGCGTAACGATAAGGATGCCGGGAAAGAAATTAGAGGGAAGCACGGCGGAGAAAT